TAAACAGGATTTTTTTCTTCTTCTTCGTCATTTTGAAAAGAGGAAAAAAGAAAGATTCATTTTATTGTTTCCAAAAAGAAACTTCATTTGTTGTGGCAACAGTTCTTTTTTTCTCAATTCGGAAAATTGTCTTCTTTTGCAGGCAGCTGTTGTGGCAGGGAATAGTTGAAAGCAGAGCGGGACAGAGGAAAATCCAGCTACTATTTTCCCCCACTTTCTTTGCAAAAATCTATTTGTTGCTTCACTGCTTAGAGATTTTCGTTAGCTACTATGTTAAAGATTATTGTGGTTGTTGTTGTTGCTGTTTTTGTTGTTTTTAGGTAATATTCCTGGTAGCGTTGCCATGGCTTAATACAATTCCTTTTTAAATTGTTCTTTTCAGCTGTTTTGCAGAAAAGCAAAACAAAAAACGATATTCGCCTGACAATATGCAATAGAATTTTGCTGATAGCTCTACACACACACACACACAGGTACAAGTATGCCAAGGATAGGTAAGCCATCAAAAATATAGTTTTTGTTGTTTATTCCTTTTCGACATGTCGTCGCATTTTCACTTGTGTTTTGTCACGCAATTTTCGGGTCGCAAACATAAATTTTTACTCTTCCAAGGGTCGATGTCGTTTGGAATATTTTAGTAGAGGTAAATTTATGTAGTTCCCTCGCCATCTGACCTGAGTTTAGCATCCATGGCTATTGCAAAATTTCCTCAAAAAATAGACATTTCGTGTTCATTCTGCTTAAAGCCTGAGGTTGTCCTTTTTATTCTCAGGAAATTTTATTTTCTCCACTAAAATTATGTCCTCCTACTTTAAGAAGGATGATGAGGTGGAGAGGAGGGTTCTTAAGGACCCTCTCACTTGAACTTTTCTCAGACTGTTATATGTGAATTTCAACGTTTTTACTTTGGCAAATTTGTATCATTTTTTCCTGGTCCTTTCTGTTTCTTTTCCATTTGCAGAGAAGAAAAAAATATCTGTATGTCCTTGGGGTAAATTATTACAGTTTTGTATCGTTTTTTTCGTGCGATACTCACAACCTAAATTATGTGTATTTTTCATTTATTCTAGAAATAAGAAAATTGTATTTGTTTACAATTTTTATAGTGTTTTTATTTTGTGGCGTACTTATCTCTTACGTATTTGTAGTCTTTGGGGAAATTATTAGATTTAAACATGCTATGAAAGCAAAAACCTCAACTTCTTTTTTGTAAAAGTAGCAATAAACGGCTTAGTTGGGCGTTGAAAAAAATCTTCTTTAAAAAATGAACGGCTTGGAAAAAAAATCCACGCTTATATCTTTTAAAGCTATGGAGACCTTGGGAAAAGTTCTTAAAAAAATCCACGCCTATATCTTTTAAAGCTTTGGAGGCCTTGGAAAAAATTCATTAAAAAAATCCACGCCTATATCTTTTAAAACTTGGAGGCTTTGGAAAAAATTATCTTAAAAAATCCACGCCTATATCTTTTAAAGCTTTTGAGGCCTTGGAAAAAAATCTTAAAAAAAATCCAAGCCTATATCTTTTAAAGCTTTGGAGGCCTTACAAAAAATTCTTAAAAAAATCCACGCCTATATCTTTTAAAGCTTTGGAGGCCTTGGAAAAAATTCTTTAAAAAATCCACGCCTATATCTTTTAAAGCTTTGGAGGCCTTGGAAAAAATGCTTAAAAAATCCACGCCTATATCTTTTAAAGCTTTGGAGGCCTTGGAAAAAATTCTTTAAAAAATCCACGCCTATATCTTTTAAAGCTTTGGATCCAAAAAAATCCACGCCTATATCTTTTAAAGCTTTGGAGGCCTTGGAAAAAAATCTTAAAAAAATCCACGCCTATATCTTTTAAAGCTTTGGAGGCCTTGAAAAAAAATTAAAATAATCCACGCCAATAGCTTTTAAAGCTTTGGAGGCCTTGGAAAAAATTCTTAAAAAAATCCACGCCTATATCTTTTAAAGCTTTGGAGGCCTTTGAAAAAATTATTTTAAAGAAAACCACGCCTATATCTTTTAAAGCTTTGGAGGCCTTGGAAAAAATTCTTAAAAAAATCCACGCCTATATCTTTTAAAGCTTTGGAGGCCTTTGAAAAAATTATTTTAAAGAAATCCACGCTTTGGAGGCCTTGAAAAAAAATTAAAATAATCCACGCCAATAGCTTTTAAAGCTTTGGAGGCCTTGGAAAAAATTCTTAAATCCACGCCTATATCTTTTAAAGCTTTGGAGGCCTTTGAAAAAATTATTTTAAAGAAATCCACGCCTATATCTTTTAAAGCTTTGGAGGCCTTTGAAAAAATTATTTTAAAGAAATCCACGCCTATATCTTTTAAAGCTTTGGAGGCCTTGGAAAAAATTCTTTAAAAAAATCCACGCCTATATCTTTTAAAGCTTTGGAGGCCTTGAAAAAAATTCTTAAAAAATCCACGCCTGTCTTTTAAAGCTTTGGAGGCTTTGGAAAAAATTCTTAAAAAATCCACGCCTGTCTTTTAAAGCTTTGGAGGCTTTGGAACAAAATTCTTAAAAAAATCCACGCCTATATCTTTTAAAGCTTTGGAGGCCTTGGAAAAAATTCTTAAAAAAATCCACGACTATACCTTTTAAAGCCTTGGAAAAAATTCTTAAAAAAATCCACGGCTATATCTTTTAAAACTTTGGAGGCCTTGGAAAAAATTCTTAAAAAAATCCACGACTATACCTTTTAAAGCCTTGGAGGCCTTGGAAAAAATTCTTAAAAAAAATCCACGGCTATATCTTTTAAAACTTTGGAGGCCTTGGAAAAAATTCTTAAAAAATCCACGCCTACATATTTTAAAGCCTTGGAGGCCTTGGAAAAAATTCTTAAAAAAATCCACGACTATACCTTTTAAAGCCTTGGAGGCCTCGGAAAAAATTCTTAAAAAAAATCCACGCCTATATCTTTTAAAGCTTTGGAGGCCTTGGGAAAAATTCTTAACAAAATCCACGCCTATATCTTTTAAAACTTTGGAAAAAATTCTAAAAAAAAATCCACGCCTATATCTTTTAAAGCTTTGGAGTCCTTGGAAAATTAAAAAAATCCACGCCTATATTTTGTTAAAGCTTTGAAGGCCTTGGAAAAAATTTAAAAAAAAATCCACGCCTATATTTTTTAAAGCTCTGGAGGCATTGGAAAAAATTTAAAAAAAAATCCACGCCTATATTTTTTAAAGCTGTGGAGGCCTTGGAAAAAAATTTTTAAAAAAATCCACGCCTATATTTTTTAAAGCTTTGGAGGCCTTGGAAAAAATTCTTAAAAAAATCCACGCCTATATCTTTTAAAGCTTTGGAGGAAAATATTCTTTAAAAAATCCATGCCTTGAAATATTCTTTAAAAAATCCATGCCTTGAAATATTCTTTAAAAAATCCATGCCTTGAAATATTCTTTAAAAATTCATGCTTTGTTAAGTCCTTGAAAAAATATTGTTTAACAAATCCACGCCTTGTTAGGTCCTTGAAAAAATATTCTTTAAAAAATCCATGCCTTGAAATATTCATTAAAAATCCATGCCTTGTTAAGTCCTTGAAAAAATATTCTTTAAAAAATCCACGCCTTGTATGGATGCTTGAAAAAATATTCTTTAAAAAATCCACGCCTTGTTGGATGCTTGAAAAAATAATTCCTTAAAAAATCCACGCTTCGGTTGATGCTTGAAAAAATAATCTTTAAAAAATCCACGCTTCGGTTGATGCTTGAAAAAATATTCTTTAAAAAATCCACGCCTCGGTTGGTGCTTGTAAAAATATTCTTTAAAAAATCCACGCCTCGGTTGATGCTTGTAAAAATATTCTTTAAAAAATCCACGCCTCGGTTGATGCTTGAAATAATATTCTTTAAAAAATCCACGCCTCGGTTGATACTTGAAGAAATATTCTTTAAAAAATCCACGCCTCGGTTGATGCTTGAAAAAATCCACGCCTCGGTTGATGATTGAAAAAATCCACCCCTCTGTTGTTGCTTAAAAAAATCCACACCTCGGTTAATGCTTGAAAAAATATTCTTAAAAAATCCACGTTTGTTTAATCCTTGAAAAAATATTCTTTAAAAAATCCAAGCCTCTTATGGACCTTAAAAAAATATTCTTTAAAAATCCAAGCCTCTTATGGACCTTAAAAAAATATTCTTTAAAAAATCCAAGCCTCTTATGGACCTCAAAAAAATATTCTTTAAAAAATCCACGCCTTGGATGGTCCTCAAAAAAATATTCTTTAAAAAATCCACGCCTTGGATGGTCCTCAAAAAAATATTCTTTAAAAAATCCACGCCTTGGATGGTCCTCAAAAAAATATTCTATAAAAAATCCACGCCTTGGATGGTCCTCAAAAAAATATTCTTTAAAAAATCCACGCCTTAAATGGTCCTCAAAAAAATATTCTTTAAAAAATCCACGCCTTGGATGGTCCTCAAAAATTTTTCTTTAAAAAATCCACGCCTTAAATGGTCCTCAAAAAAATATTCTTTAAAAATCCACGCCTTGGATGGTCCTCAAAAAAATATTCTTTAAAAAATCCACGCCTCGGTTGATGCTTGAAAAAATATTCTTTAAAAATATCCCTGCCTTGGATGGTCCTCAAAAAAATATTCTTTAAAAAATCCACGCCTTGGATGGTCCTCAAAAAAATATTCTTTAAAAAATCCACGCCTTCTAGGGTTCTTGAAAAAATATTCTTTAAAAATCCACTGTGCTCCCCTTGTTGCCATTTCCCGACCAATTACCTTGAATCCCAATTTCTTATTTATATTCTCCCTACACCATTAAGTTTTCAATTCAATATTTCGAGTTGAGTCGAAACTTTTCTTTACATCTTCTAATGACATAAAATCCTCTAACAATGTCATTGATACCAACAACCGGTTGTAAAGTTAGGGAAACAAACCACGAAATAGCGCCCGCCCCCTACGAGGGAACATGTTGTAACAACAAACATTCATGGTGAGTTTTGAGTTTTAAGTTTCGAAATAAAAACACAAGAATCAAAAATAAATTTCCAAACTTACCTTGTTGCCAAATCCCGGTGTACAAAGTTCATTTGTTCCAAATACTTCATGCCCGATGCAATTTGTGTGGCAATGTAGACTAAGCAGCCATAGCTGTTTTGGCGGAGGGCGAAGATGGCGATCACAGAAATTCCATGGGGTTGAATTGGATTCGGAATGTTGAATGGCCGAGGGGGGGTCCCAACCAAAATTTCAACATCAAAGTATCATCAGTGGCGCGGCATTGACGTTTGGTGACGTTGGGCGCCATTAGCATGAAGAGATGTCGATCTCGAGCGGTGGAGAAAGGGAGAGAGACATCGGGCATTGGTACCATTTAACAAAGTTTGTAGTTCCGGTTTCGGAAGTTTAAGAGTGTGCGTGCCACATAATCAGCAATGTCATATTCATTTGTGTATGTGAGTGTTAGTGAGTGTGTCGGGGTGTCATGCATGTCGAAGAAGATGTTGGGCGAAGAGTTATCGAACAATTTTTGGCCATTAATGTTGCGAGCAAAATATTTGTTGCGTTTTGTGTTTGTGTGGAGGCGATGGAATGGGTTGGGACAAGTCCGGACGGTAGTAAAGTTTGTTACAGACGATGTAAATGAAATCAACACGAGACCGGAAATTTAGCACAAGACACCCAGTACCACACCAGCAATGCAGTCATGTGGCGGAGTCATTGTTAGAATTGCCACAAATTTTGCCGAAACAGTTTTCAATGTTGCCGCCGCCAGGCAAGGCATCGTTGGAGTCGTCGTCGTCATTATCATGGCCAACATTATGGACGACAAAGTCATTTGGTAGACGGTACAGGAAACAAGATAAAGCGTGTCGAAAACGTAAAAAAAGGAGAAAAGAAGAAGAAAAACAACATTTGAGCAAAAGGAAGAAGAAGAACAGGACGACGACACCCAGCATGAATGAAAGGAGGAAACACATAAAATGAAATGAAAAGTTTTGCGTTTTTCGTCCAATAAACTTTGCAGTGCAGCGGCGATAAAAATAAAATGTAATGCGTTTAAATTCACTCCGCTACCCCGCACCCTTGCTGGGATTCCCAAAATTTAAGGACAAAAAACGCAAAAACTTTTCAAAGTTTCCCTTTAGTCGTTTTTGATAATGACATTGCAAGCTGCTGCAGCTGCAACCAATACCCACCTCAACACATTGGTTTTGTTCGAAGAGGAGGAGGATACCATCGTCGTCGCCGCCGCCGTTGATGTCCTTTTTCCCACTTGCTGGTGGCTGGCCACAACACCCGCCTCATTTTCTGATATGTGCTCCTGCAGGAATTGATTCAAATCGCCCAGACAATCACTGTAGTCGAGGACCATACATATCGGCTCATCGCGCAGACAGGCGCCCACCAGAGGCGCCACATTGACATCTTTTAGACGGGATAATTGTTTGGCTTTCAGGCGAAATTCCTTGCGCATGTGGTCAGGTGCTCCGGGGCGTAAAGTGGCAACAGCTACCAAATTTGTGCTGGAAGAAAAAGAATACAAAAACGGAAAACATTTATTTAGGAATTTTTGAAAAATCATAGAAAAAATATAAAATTAAAAAAAATATTTTTCAAAAATATTTTTAAAAAATCCACCTTTACTAATAGTCCTTGAAAAATTATTTTTAAAAAATCCACATTCATTCATGACCCTTGAAAAAATATTTTAAAAAAAATCCACGTTTATAGATAGTCCTTGAAAAAATATTTTTAAAAAATCCACATTCATTCATGACCCTTGAAAAAATATTTTAAAAAAATCCACGTTTATAGATAGTCCTTGAAAAAATATTTTTAAAAAATCCACATTCATTCATGACCCTTGAAAAAATATTTTAAAAAAATCCACATTTATAGATAGTCCTTGAAAAAATATTTTTAAAAAATCCACCTTTACTAATAGTCCTTGAAAAAATATTTTTAAAAAATCCACCTTTACTAATAGTCCTTGAAAAAATATTTTTAAAAAATCCACGTTTATCATAAACTCTTGAAAAAATATTTTTAAAAAATCCACGTTTATCATAAGCTCTTGAAAAAATATTTTTAAAAAATCCACGTTTATCATAAGCTCTTGAAAAAATATTTTTAAAAAATCCACGTTTATGGATAGTCCTTGAAAAAATATTTTTAAAAAATCCACGTTTATGGATAGTCCTTGAAAAAATATTTTTACAAAACCCACGTTTATGGATAGTCCTTGAAAAAATATTTTTAAAAAATCCACGTTTATGGATAGTCCTTGAAAAAATATTTTTAAAAAATCCACGTTTATGGATAGTCCTTGAAAAAATATTTTTACAAAACCCACGTTTATGGATAGTCCTTGAAAAAATATTTTTAAAAAATCCACGTTTATGGATAGTCCTTGAAAAAATATTTTTAAAAAATCCACGTTTATGGATAGTCCTTGAAAAAATATTTTTAAAAAATCCACGTTTATGGATAGTCCTTGAAAAAATATTTTTAAAAAATCCACGTTTATGGATAGTCCTTGATAAAAATATTTTTAAAAAATCCACGTTTATGGATAGTCCTTGAAAAAATATTTTTAAAAAATCCACGTTTATAAATAGCCCTTGAAAAAATCTTTTTCAAAAAGCCACGTTTACTAATAGTCCTTGAAAAAATATTTTTAAAAAATCCACGTTTATGGATAGTCCTTGAAAACATATTTTTAAAAAATCCACGTTTATGGATAGTCCTTGAAAAAATATTTTTAAAAAATCCACGTTTATAAATAGCCCTTGAAAAAATCTTTTTCAAAAAGCCACGTTTACTAATAGTCCTTGAAAAAATATTTTTAAAAAATCCACGTTTATGGATAGTCCTTGAGAAAATATTTTTAAAAAATCCAAGTTTATGGATAGTCCTTGAAAAAATATTTTTAAAAAATCCACGTTTATGGATAGTCCTTGAAAAAATATTTTTAAAAAATCCACGTTTATGGATAGTCCTTGAAAACATATTTTTAAAAAATCCACGTTTATGGATAGTCCTTGAAAAAATATTTTTAAAAAATCCACGTTTATAAATAGCCCTTGAAAAAATCTTTTTCAAAAATCCAAAAAACACGTTTATGGATAGTCTTTGGATTTTACGTGGATAATTTTAAATATTGGATTTTTTTAAATATTTTTTAAGGGCTATCCATAGACGTGGATTTTTTAAAAATATTAAATATTTTTTTTAAGGACTATCCATAGACGTGGATTTTTTAAAAATATTAAATATTTTTGCAATGGCTATTTGTAACCATGAATTTGTAAAAATATTTTCATAGACATTCAATAAATGAAATTTTTTAAGAATATTATATCCATAGCCAATTTTCTATTGCACCACAAATTTTGATTGTATTTACTGTTGTTGTTGCTGTTATTATTTTTAATAAACCAAATATATATAAAAAATTCCTCTGAAAAATTATTGCCTGGCATTCGACTAATATAATTGTTTGCGGTTTTATAGTTTCGTAGTTAATTTTTTTGTTGCTGTTGCTGATGCTCGTGTGCATGCCTCTACTCCCGTACACAGCACAACCACACGAGCCGTTCATCCGCAACCAAATGATGTTTCAATTAATTGCATTCATTTTTATTAAAACTAACCAAACTCCAATTAAAGCTATATGGCCTGGCCGCACAAGCTACTCCTACCTTATCAGCATCGGCACCAACGAAGATACCCATTCCACTACTATCACCTCCACCACCATTACCATGATAAGCATATGGAAACTAAATTCCATTATACAGATTCGCACACATACACACACACACGCAGATACACAGATACACCGGAGCTTCGAAGAAGTATGGATATTGAAAAATTGTGGTTGAAAAATTAAAATAAAATAATAACAACAGCAACAACAACCACTACAACAAGAATATCAAAAAGTAAGCAATGAAGTTCGCCGAATATTTCTGCCGCTTCTGCCGATGGCTGGAGGAGAGCAACAATGCCGGGAGAACACAACTAAAAATTTAATGGAATTTTTGATTACTGGCAGACAGTTGGAAAAAATTGAAAAGTTTTTCACTTTGTATTATTGTTATCCTGGTTGTTGTTGTCGTTATTATTTTTGTTGTTGTCTGAATTTCGTTTATACACACCGGCACTTAAAATACTTTTCAAATATTCATCACATGAGGTTAGTTTTTGAATAGACCTCAAACCGAGCATAGCCACAAAACTACCTTCAGTTCATCATCGGCTTTCTTATTTCCCTGGGAGAAGTTTTCCGGCAATTGTATATCCGTTGCCTTAGATCGTCGTCGCCATCACCATCACCACCATCACCTTAACCGCAATCACCGCACTTAGGAAAAACTTAAAGACAAGTGATGTGGATCTGTGTGAGGGTAGGTGTGTGCGTGTGTGTGGTATTTAACCTCTGAATTAGTCAAAAATTCAGTTTAGTTTTGTGAGTGAGGAGGAGGTTCTTGGGGAAAGTTTTAAGTTACGGATTGAGTTTTTGTACCCTCAGCCATATAGCTAGAGAGGGTATATATTATTTGTTGCAGCCAAAACGTACCTCATCGAAACCACGATGTTAGACCCTAGGTCTCTTTGGACCAAATCCGACTCAGGACATTTATAGTCGATATAACGAAGTCTGGTACCTCCCCCCACAGAGGGTTAAAATTTTGAATATCCATGAAGCTCATAAAACGCGAAATTCACATCGGATTCCATTCAGACTTGATAAGTCTCATTATATCTATAAACACAAGATCTGTTAGAAAAATGGTAGGTATCGCACCATTTCTTCTTGGTCCTCCCCACATAGGGTTCATTTCGCATGGATTATCAGGCCAAATTAATGGCATTTAACTAAAGATATTTGGTCCCTGATCCTGGTCTTGTTTCGATCCATTTTTAATCCTCACGTAATTTGAATTTCAAACTGATGCTCTCGTTTTAGGGCATCTAGAATGATTGGTCTTTTTCCTGAATATTTAAGATCCTAATAATGGATTTTGAGGATTTTGATATTAATCGATATTATTTTCTTAGAAAAAATTTGACCTCTACCTTTTTTCAGAGTCTGTCTTTCTCTGAAGAAATTAAATTCCCATTCGTCCGTCATTTAATGGGAATTTTAGTTCCTTTTTTGGCGTACTTTTGTAAATGCTTTTCGTCCTGAAGTACATTTCCTCAAGAGATTTTCGATCCCCTATCTTAAATTATTTTGGTCCCGATACGTGGGAATTTTTAGCAGAGCTTTTGTGCTATATTTGCGGAGATTTTCTCCAGGATTTGGACTTTTAAGGATTTTTTTTTTGGAGAACAATTTTTAATGTTTTTAGGACCTTCAGAGGCCACAGCATTGACGTTTAAAATATTTTTTTGTTCATCACGATCTTGGATTTTTTAACGGGGTTTTTGAGGCCTTTAAGCCTTGCACGTGGCTTTTTAAAGATCTTCAGATCCTTTAAAGGTGATTTTATGAATGTTTTTAGAAGAAGTTTTTAAGGTGGAGGTTTTTTTCTAGAGAACCAGCAGAGCCATGAGCATGAATTTTTTAAATGTTTTTTTTTTTCTGGGATTTTCAGAGCCTCGTAAAAGAAGTTTTTTTTTTCGCAAACGTTTAGAATCATGAATTACCATTTAAAACAAAAATCGATGACTTGTAGAGCCTTGAGCGTAAAATTTTAGAGATTTTTATTGGAGGACCTTTAGAGCTTCAAACGTGGAGTCTTCAAGAATTTTTCAAGGTCCATTAAAGCCACGAAACTTTCATTTCTAAAAATGTTAGGACATTTTGCGGAGTTTTATTTTTAGTGTATTTCCCCCATTTTTTGTGAATATTTTAGACGATTTTTCCCAAGAAACAACAAAGGCGGATTTTTAAAGAACTACAGGGCCTTAAGCGTGGATTTTTATTTTTTTAACGTGAAGTTTTGATTTTTCTCTGAGAACCTTCAGAGCCTTGAAAGTGGTGTTCTTACACATTTTTTCATTGAGGACCTTCAGAGTCTTAAAAGTTTTTTTTTATAGAATTTTTTAGGGAATCTCTAGAGCCACAAATTTGGATTTTTAAAGTCGAAATTTTCGAGAAATATATTTTTTGCGCAGAAAGAGAAAGGATAATCTTATAAAATGTGATGCAAGAGTCCGATTGTCTTCAAATTGCACACATCACAATATTTTTATTAATCAAAGGTTTGATGTAAAGATGGAGTATAACGGTCCTCGCCTTCTGGTACCTCCTCCACAATGGGTCAAAATTTTGATTAATTACAACTCATATAAAATGTGATGCAAGAGTCCGATTGTCTTCATATTTCACATATCCAACTATTTTTATTAGCCCAAGATCTGGTAGTAAGACGTAAAATATCGGTCCACTGTTTCTGATATCTCCCCCACAAAAGGTTGAAATTTTGAATATCCATTATGCTCATAAAACACGAAATTAATACCCGTTTCCATTCAGACTTGGTACATCTCAATATTTCCATCAACACAAGAT